TGAGAGGGGTTCAGCTGCAGGCCAATCTTAGCTCAGACCTCTACCCCTCTGGGGCCACCTGTCAAGATTCAGCAAGCAAAATCCACAGATGCTGTGCTTATAGTTGCCTCAAAAGGCCACACCAGAAACCGAGGCCAGCTGCCTCCAATGTGAGTCTAGGTGCTGCTCAGCTAGGCGCATCTGACTCACTGAGGATTCACCTGGATGTGGCTTGAGTGGGGCTCAGATTGGGGGAGGTGGGGTTTCAGGGAATCCTCTGGGAGGAGCGACCTCTGGTATCCAGTTTGATAATGTCACAGCTATGGCAGCACTGTGTCAGCACACTGGGAGGGGAGAGGGCTCAACGGAACAATGGATACCACCGGCACTTCTGTACATAACGAGTCTCACCTCGACCTTCTCTCTGACAATATCTCCCTATAAATCCCTCATGCCACCTGCGCACAGCCAAGTCGGCACTGATGCTCAGAGCGAACAAGTCCGTTGCCATGAAGATCCGCTCGCTCGCGGATGCGGCCCCTTTAAGAGGCGTCTGCCGCTGCCGCAGCCTCCGTCTCACTCAGCTGCTCGGGACAGGGCGGCCCCGTGTCCTCGCCCCATCCTACCTTCTGTCATTGCAGGGTGCTTTCTCGGATTTCTCCCTAGTTGTATGGCTTGTTTATCTAGATCCCAGGCAATTTTTCTTTGCTGCTGCTCCTTGTTTCTGTCACAACTTCGGTGTGGTCGCCAGAAGGATGAACAGGGACTCCATCATCGACATCGTTTTGCAGCACTCTGTCTCCTTTTGTTTTCTTTGTAAAGAAAATATTCTGTTGTTTCGTCAGCTCAGATCCAGCTTTCTCTATTTTATTCTGTATCTGATCTAATGCCTAGATGTTTCCTGTAAATTCTCAGGGAGTCAGTTTTAAGTGGTGTGATTTAAGGGTACAGTTCTTGGTACATAGTAGGTGCTTGACACATGTTTACTAATTAACCAGCCCAGCTTTGTAGAGCTCCTAAATACCATGAGTATACAAGAGAAAGAGAAGGCATGGTTCTTGTCTCCAGGGAGCAGTTAGATTTAGGAGGTGAGATTATTACCAAAGCCTGTGGATAACTCCCTTACTGGCCTATCAGATCATTTCTCAGCCATAGCAGCTGCCATAGGCAGCTAGGAAGGGGACCCCAGAAAAACTTCTGGGAGATGAAAGGTGAGTCATATATCATCTGGAGCCAAGAAGACCCAGAAAGACTGGGACAAAGGTGGGAAAGATGGCTCTGCTGACCACCACATTGCTGGGGCCTGGATCAAGAGCCACGATAAAGCCCACAGGTGGCAATTTTATTCAATAGTTCTAGCAATGGAGACCCCCACACACACACCCTTGAAGGCCTGAGGTAAGGAGAAGTCACCCTCAGAAGAACCAGCCTGGCCGGTCTTCAGCTCTGATACCAGGCTTCTCTAAACTGGTGAGAAAAGGGGTGTCCTCTGGGACTGGTGTGACAAAGGCCAGAGAAAACTGGGAGTAGGAGCCACTACCGCTCCCACACCTCACCCACCTAGGAAAGAGGGTAGAGCAGCCCAGCGTGGGAACTACCCAGCCTACCCTTCCCTCAGAAACTTTCCCAAAGCATGCAGGATGATCACTGCCACCAGCTGGAGCTCACCCAGCATTCCCAGAGCATCCATCTGGACCCTGAGGTTCTCCACTGCAGCCTAGATTCTGGCCTAGATGACCAGCTGAAAGTGCCAATGACACAGATACCCGATGAGGTCTGATGAGAGTATCAGACCTGTCAATATTTACTGAGCTTCAACCATGATACAGGCTCTGAGTCAGCTTCTTTTCGATATGTTGTCGCATTTAATCCTTACCACTGTAAGATAATTATCATCCTTCCCATTCCATTGATGAAGAAACTGAGGTTCACAGGGGCGAAGCACCTTGCCCAGAGTCACCCAGCCCAGGAGCGGCAGAGCCCAGCCGTGGACCCTTGCCTGTCAAATTTCCCAGGTTTGCTCTTGTCACGCCACCATTCTGCCTCCCAAATATTTTTGTGGCAGCACATCAGGAAAAAAGAGCGTGATTACTATAGCACTCTGCCAGCACACCTGGGACAGGCACACTCGTGTGACACCCTCATAGAGAGATAATGTATAGGCCGTGGCAGGAGATTTCAGCCCTGGGGTTTCACTTAGTAAGATGGCTGTAACTAACCAGTTAGACAGCAATTTGTTTACCAAATCCTAATGCACAAAATGAGCAGTTGCTATCTAATTAACGTGGCCATTGATTAATTTGTTAAAGGATAATTAAAGGTTTAATGGTTACTTGTTGCTGGTATAGAAAATTCCCATTTCTCCCAGGAGCCAATCTTTTTAAGTCCCTAGATCGCTAGTTGTTTTGACTATAATCTGTCTTTAAACTTAAATGTCTGTTGACATCCTGGGAGACTCTTAGGTGATCAGGATGCCTCATCAAGGACTAGAAGAGGCTGTATGTAGCCATGTCCATGGCCGCATGATGGATGGTTACATCGTGTCCTGTCCAGGTGCTTTGGAGAAGATGTGTGCATCAGCATCCCTGACTTGGACACCTACGTGATGGTGTTGCAGGCCATCGAGCCCCAGATCACGCTCCGTGGCACAGACCGCTTCTGGAGACCCGCTGCCCAGTTCGAAAGTGCCAGAGGAGTGATCCTCTTCCCTGACATCAAGATCGTGAGCACTTTAGCCAAAGCTGAGGCCCCAGGTGACTTGAAGACCACAGGTATGGGTGCATCCTGAGTTGTGGGCAGTGGGCCTTGAGTTCTCTCAGCCACATCAAATCATACTTCAGGATAACAGTATTATTCCCCATAGCAAGGTATTTACGGTAGCAAAACAAACAAACAAAAATCTGGAAACAACACAGGTAAATAACAGGAAGGGAAATGAATGGCTCAGCAAATCATGGGACCCCCATATAAGTGCTGTTAGAAGAAAGGCATTTATGCTAAACGTGACAAAAAGCAAGATGCATATTACCAAGTATCTACACTTAGACTGATCTCAACCATGTAAAGAAAAAAGTACATAGAAAAATGTCAAGAAGACACACCGAATACCAGCAGCGACATTCTCTGAGACGCATAAGAGCCCATTTGTGTCTGTTCCCTTTCACTTTTCTGCAACGGCAAAATGTTCACTAGCGAGCATTACGATTTTTATAATCAGAAGAAAAGCTAAAGAAACGCAAAGAAAAAAACATAACTGCATCCTAATATATACACAGTAAAAGTCTTGTTCAGCAATATTACTCTAAGCTCTCAGGGAACCTTCCGATTGTTCTTTCCAACGGTTTCGTTATTGGGAGGGCTGTTCAGCGAAAGTAGAGTAATTTGAATTATCTACCAGGGAGAAACACTTAGTTGCACTGAAAGCTACAGTATATTCTGCTGGCTTGAGGGGGTTAGAGGAGGCAAGAAAAAAAAGGAAGGGACTTAGGGAGGGAGGGAGGAAAACCTGGGGCCCGGATCTACAGGAGAAATACCCGTTCGAGAACTGTCCTTTGCTGCCTTCTCCAAGAGAATACTTTCAACTCCTGCTCTCCCTCTCTAAGAGTAGCTGCTAATGATGTGCTGGCATCAGAGGGCCTGAGTCCCTGAAGGCTGCTTCTAAAATAATCCTAATTACCCATCACCTTAAACCACCCTGGTCCCTAGCGGATGGCGAGACCCCTGCAAAGCAGCCCTTCTTAGCTCACAAAATAGACAGGTGTCTTACCATCTATCCAGGCAGGGCGGTTTCCTAGTTACCCTCCAAGGGGCATTAGATTGTGTGTTCTTCCCTGTTCCCCTCACTTGTGGCTAAAATCAGACAAAAAAGGAAAGGCCTCTGACCTGAGTGGTTGCAGGCTATAGCTGAGAGCAGCTAGATTTGTCAGGCCTGACACCAGCACACAGACAGTGCAGGGAAAAGCAATTATCTGGGTCCTTTTCTTACCTTCTGTTTATGAGAGATGCTTGCAGAGCACATCGCCAAGTACCCTAGACCTATTATTAGCACTTTTAAATTTTTACTCTAATTGTTAGAATAACCATGATTATGGGTGCCTTAAACAAGCAGGCTAATGGCATTTGCCTCAGTGACCTGTTCCAGCATCATCTTCCGTCCCAAGTGACTCACTCTTCGTGCTGTTTCAGTACAAAGGACAGGCAAGTCCCCCACACATAACCCTCTCTCTCACATACACCTCTGTGTTAGGTCACGCCTGTGCTCTTGCTCCACTCTATGCCTGGAGGGTTCTTCTTCCTCCCCATCCCGATCGATCGTTGCTAGCAAACATTTCTGCCTTCAACACCTCTTCCAGAAGGCTCTCTCCTCCATCATCCTGCCCCCTAGACTGGGTTAGGCCTCCTGCTCCGTACAGCCCCAGCCACTACTGCTACCCTCTAACACATAGCTTTCACTAGCCCTCGGTGGTGGTTGTCTATTTGCTAAACCAGATCAGAAGCTCCATGAGGGCTCAACCATGAAGACTTAGTCACCTCTAAGTCCTTGAGCCCAGCACAGTCCCTTCATCCCAGTGGGAATCAAGGAAACTGCAGATGGAAGATACTTCCCTAATGCGAGTACAAAATAACAATGAGAAAATGGCAGAGACCCCTACCTCGCACAAACATCAGCCACACGGAGAGCGAGGTGGGAGCAAGAATGACCCAATCTGATCTGACAAGAAGCTGGCAAAAAAAAAAACAAAAAAAAAAAACAGAAAAATAACAGAAACCACGAGAAGATTATTTGAAATAGAGATACACATACACTATTATTAATGATAGACTTTGTCTTAGGTGTATATTAATGTGCACTTAGATTTTGCCAATGACACATGAAGCCATTGAGATTGGCAAGAATTTAAAAATTAAGCATAAAAAATTATTTATAAAAGTATATATCTACTGAGAGCCAAAATATTTTTGGTATCAATGAAAAATTAAAATGTAAAATAATTATTTAAAATAATTATCTCTTTAGTGAGTCCTTTTTAATTTCTGTTTTTATAAATGTTTTATAATGTACAAAATATATTAGTCTTCTTTATAAATAAATAAATATACTTATTTAAATGATCTTGGTTCACAAATTTTGCAATAAAAAACTGCAAGATCAAAAACATTTGAAGACTACTGGCCCAGAGGTTAAGATTTCATAAACTGTGGAATCAGAATGTCATAGTTTCTGTCCTAGCTCTTCTTCTTCTATCTGTGTCACCCTGGGCATTCCAGTCCCCCCGTTGAAACCTCCATTTCCCCATCAGGGAAATGGGATTACACTAGTCCTCCCTCCAATGCCTGTCTGTTAGGATCTTGTTTGCACGTTGCCTGGTACACAGCAATGACTCCCTAAATACCTGTCGCTTTTATTTTAAGGTAAGACTTTTTGTTAAGACTGCCTACCCATCCAGCATTCAAATACTCAGACATCCCTTTGGGAAATTTAGAGCCCCCAAAATCAGGCAAAGACAGCTAGACTGACGAACAGCTGTCAACTAGATGAACCAACTTACTTAATTATTTTAATTATTTTAATGGTGCAGCTCCATTTGAGCAATGTATAGTAATACTGCTCCATGCCAGTGCCTAGGTTGGATACCGAGGACTCCATCATAAAAAGACAGTGCTTCTGCCCCTGAGAACCTCAGAGTCTACTGGGGATAACAGATACACACTGTGACTACATGGAGAAAGCTACAAGAGCATGTTGAAGGGGCACTTATCTCTGGCCCCAAATGAGAGCTATTGCTTATTGAGCACCTACAATGTGCCAGGCACTGTTTTAAATCCTGTCAAGACCCTTGCCCTCTTTACAGATGAAAAAATGGAGGGATAGGTAGTTTCTCTAACACAATACATCTTCTCAGTAGCAGCGTTGGCATTGAAATTCACATCTTTTGATGACTGTATTCATACTCTTCACACAAATCGATGCTGCCTAGACACCCATCCAAGCAGCGGTGGTACTTAGGATTGTACAACCTCTTCTCCTGACCCAGCCTTAACCTGGGGTGCAATCACAGAGGAGGAAGTTGATATGCAAGGGCCATTGTCTGAACTGTCCTCACGCCTATGTTTCCCATGTGGCTGTCTTCCAGCAGCCCCCAAATCAGCAGTCTTAGAAGAAATGCTTCACAACTTAGATTTCTGTGACATTTTGGTGCTGGGAGGGGACTTGGACCCAAGACAGGAGTGCTTGGAGCTTAACCACAGTGAGCTCCATCAGCGACACCTGGATGCCACCAACTCCACTGCAGGATACTCCATCTACGGTAAGGCCACACTCGGCCCCTTTGCCCAGTGGTCTCTCCTCTCAGGGTGGCCTCATCAGGGAGTCACGAGAGTGATGGCACTCTGTCACCTGTGGGAGCGGGCTCAGGTGTGGGCTCTTGGCATCATAGCATGGACTTCTAGCCCCTCCTCCTTCAGCTACTCCAGCGCCTTGAGGACCTGGACCACATCCCCTCTCCCAGGGAAATCTCCTATAGAAACTAGGTAGATGCCTTCTCTTAGGTTTAATTGCCACAAATACTACAACATTTGAAAAAATGAGGTCAAACATTCTGATCAGAGACCAATCTATGTGGAAATCCTATGAATCAATTTCAGTGGCTCCTTAGAACTTCTGCTGCAGTATATTGTCTGCCCCTAAACACTGTAAGCACTCAGCATGGTAGAATTCAGGACACCCACAGGCCACAGCAGCTGCAGCCTGTCTCCCCCGTCTCCTCTGCCTTCTTATGACACAGATGGTCTCTTGGCACAGGTGTGGGCTCCATGAGCCGCTATGAGCAGGTGCTGCGTCACATCCGCTACCGCAACTGGCGTTCTGCTTCCCTTGAGGCCCGACGGTTCAGGATCAAGTGCTCGGAACTCAACGGGCGCTACACCAGCAATGAGTTCACCTTGGAGGTGAGTGAGTCTTGCGGTTGTAAGGGACACCCAGGCTCACCCATCCATTCCCTTGTTTATTTGGGAGGACTGCTGCTGCTGGCCCATCTGGCCCTCCTGGTCAACAGCACCTCTCCTTGCTCTTCCCAGGTCAGCGTCCTCCATGAGGTCAGAGTTTCAGACAAGGAGCATGTCAACCACCTTATCGTGCAGCCTCCCTTCCTGCAGTCCGTCCACCACCCTGAGTCCCGGAGTAGCATCCAGCGCAGTTCAGGTAGGCAACCTGGCAGGAGAGACCACGGTACACCAGGTGGTTATTGTGACTCAAGACCACCCATTAAACAGTTGGATGCAGCAGCCAGAGGTGCCCAGAACTGAAGGAGGGACCCAACAATGGAAAAGCTAGGGGCCCTGCCTCTGGGATGCTCACAGCCTCAGTAGGGAGTCCATCAGGTAAACAAGTTACGGATGACAGATAATAACAGAGCTTAGTTGCAAGGGGCTGGGGTAAATTATTACAAACCCTTTATGGCCCAACTCAAAGTCACGTCCTGTATGATACTTTCCCTGAACCCCTTACATACGCTCACATACACACATGTGTGCACAATCTTGTAAAGTCCCCTACCCATACTTCTGTTCCAACACTTGCCATATTATATTACTGTCTACTGGGCGCCGCGTCTGTTTCTGCTAAGCTCCACAGTGCCTGGCTCTTGGTGGGAGGTTTCCCATAATTCGAGGGGAAAAAAGCCAGAGACAGAAAAGCAAATAAATTTGCATTTAGTGGGTGCCTACTATGTGCCTAGGTGGAAACTCACATATTATTTCATTTTTTCCTCAAACTACCCATGGGATAGGAATTATTAAGTCCATTGTGCAGGTGACAAACTCGAAGCCCAGACAGAGTAGGTGCTGACCCAGGGTTCTGCAGCTGGGAAGTGGTAGGGTGGATTTTAACCTATGCATGGATATTTAGTGCATGCTCCATCCTAAGAGTGAGCTAGCTCACCGTGTTATGTGGATTCCTTCCTCATTCCAGTGGTCCCAAGCGTCGCCACGGTGGTCATCATCATCTCTGTGTGCATGCTAGTGTTCGTGGTGGCCATGGGCGTGCACCGAGTCCGGATTGCTCACCAGCACTTCACTGAAGAGGCCGAGGCTGCCAAGGAGGCCGAGATGGATTGGGATGACTCTGCGCTCACTATCACAGTCAACCCAATGGAGGTGAACCTCACGCAGGGGCTGGGAGCTTTAGGCAGGATGCCTCCCCTTTACCCAGCTCCACCTTTCCTGGGCCAGAAGCCCTGCCCAAGGAGCCCAGCCTCACTGATCCCTCACTTCTCTGAGCTTCTCCAGCCCTCACAACCCAGATGGACCCTACTTTCACACCAAATGAATCACTGATTAAAAATGTGTAAATTTCTCTCACTTTATAAACAGAACCAGACACTTCTTAAGGCAAGCAACCATGTGATGTCTATCCCTTGCCACCCCCATCGTATTTAGCTTGGAGCTAACATTTAGGGACTCAGTATTGAATTTTTGATTAATTAACAGTGTAAATTGGTTGGCTTTGCTCCATACTGCCTGCAGAGCTCACTTAAAGACTCAGAATAGGTTAAAACAAAAATACAACAATAATAGCTGCCACTTATTGAGCCCCTCATTATGCCAGACACTGCACAGGGCATGCTACATACATCACCTCATTTAATCTTCCAGCAGCCTGTGAAGTAGAAGTCTTCATCCTCATTTATCAAGGTGGGAACCAACTCAGAGAGGGAAGGAAAGTGCTCAAACTCACATAGCTGGCAATGGCAACTCCGATATTTAAACTCCCGTTTGCCTGATTCTAAAATTCAAATCTTACCAGTTAGCCAGCAGCCCCCAGAATCTACCCATGATTGTCCAAGGCTCCTGCTCTGGGCATGTGAATATCAAGGTAAGCCACTGGCATCGTGCCCTTTGGTCAGCCTGTTGGTACTAGGTGAAGATAGAGCCAAGAGTAAAGCAGGGGTAGATCAGAAAGAGTCATTGATAAATGAAAAGATTATTCCAGCCTTGTTCCCATTTCCTCCTCAGCTGATCTCATGCTCCAATATCCAAAGCATGGCTTGGCGTGTGCAGTGGCCATTTCCTCCTCAGCTGATCTCATGCTCCAATATCAAAGCCAGCATGGCTTGGCGCGTGCAGTGAGTACAGTGCTAAGCACACCACTGTAGGGACTCAGCATCTCCTCCCTTGATGAGCCTTGGGTGTGGGAATGACCACCCACCCTGGAGCAGTCTGAGTACTGGGCAAGAGTGTGCCTACCCAGGGCTAACCTAGTGATGCCAACTGTCAGTGAAGCAAGAGCAGAGAGATCCATGGGGGCGGAGTGTTCAGGGAGGACTCCTTGGAGGAGGTTAGATTAAAGGAACCTTTGTAGAATGGGTAGTTTTTGAGGGAGGTAAAGGTAGAAGAGAAGATACTCCAGAGAGATGACATGGCCAAGCAAGGACATACATCTCTGATGGCTGGTTCATCAACTCAACACAGAAATCCAGAAAGAAATAAGATTTGGCTGGAATCACCAAAAACTGGGAGGAACAGAGATGAGAGAAGGAAAAACTGAGGTAGAATTTGAGGACACAAATCAGAAAGTGAGGGGCAGGCATGAAAAATGAGGACCATGAACTTTGTCCTTCCCAGAGGAGTATTTTTGAGGGAAAGGCCACCTGAGTCTTGTTTCAGACCTTCTGCTCCCAGAGACATTATATTCCCACCTGTAAAAGGGGTACAAGCTTACATGCCATTCTCTCACTGAGAAGCAAACACCGAAGACTTGGAAAGCTCATTCTGATAAGCTCCAGAAATGCCAGTGTATGGAATTGGCCAAATGTCCCGTGTCTTACCTCGAGTTCATGTCTTGGAATTTGCTGCTCCTTCTTGCCTTTGTCCTTGGCTGTCTGCTTTGCCTTTCACCAGAGGCCCTCCCTTCCAGGCCCAAGGGGTTAGCATTAAGGGGAAGGAATTCCCAGGGGCCCAAAATGTTTGCTTAGTAGAGGGAGAACTGTAAGCTCCAAAGTGGTTTCCCTTCTATCCCGACCCCCAGAAACATGAAGCACCGGGGCGTGGGGAAGATGACACTGAGGAGGAGGAGGAGGAGGAGGAAGGAGAGGAAGACATAAGCTCCAGCAGCAGTGACTCGGACGACAGCGATGACCAGGAGGAGGAAGGGATGGGCAGGGGCAGACGCGGGCAGAGCGGAGCCAGGCAAGCCCAGCTGGAGTGGGACGACTCCACCCTCCCCTACTAGTGCCTGGCTCTCGGGGCCCGCCCACCTGTCCCTTTTGTAAGGCCCACCTGATGTATGCTGAGTCTATCACCGTCACCTCTGACTTCTGTGACAGGCTAGGCAGGCCTTCCCCTGCCTCCTGGAACCCACCCCTCACACCTTGGACACTCCTTGTGTCCCAGAGTGGTTCCTAGAAGCCCAGTGTCACCCCCAGTGGGGACTTTAGGTTATACCTTGTCCTGCAGCCCCCACTGCTCCTGCCCTGGGCTCCCCGGCACCCTGTCTGCCAACCTGCAGAGTTCTGCTTTTGCTCTTCTCTGCAGGGGAAAAGGTTAGCCTGTCTGTCACTCACTTCCCCCAGGCTCTGTGTCCCCAAGGCCCTTGGTCTGCAGTTCATTGTGTATGTACCTGACTCTTATCATCTCTCCATGCAGAACAGCAGGTTTTCTTGAGCTAACTCTCCAAGTGGCTTCATTCAGGCAGGGTGGTCGGACTTCGCATACCTGAGGTCTTGGTCCTTAACACTTTAAAGAAAGTCCTTGCTGAGGCAGAATTAAGTTCACGGGGAGAAGTTTACATACTCACACATGCACACACATACTCTCCCCAGTTTGGACAGCCTTTCCCTTTGAACTTTCTGAGGCCATATAAGCTTATATGAAAAGTCTGAAACCTTAGCCACAGCAGGACTTGGTCCCCAGCCAAAGCTACCTGAGTCTACCTGCCTGGCAGCTGCTGAGACCGGTGTGGCTGCCTTGCTGGGGGCTTCCACCCCGTGAAACCACAGGATCCAGGAAGCATTCCACACAGGCGCTGCCCCAGGCGGAAGCCATGACAAGCCTGTAGCCAGGGCTCAGAAGGAAGGGCTGATGAGGTGACACCACCGGGCTTCATGCAGGGCGTCGATCTAGAAGACGGGGGTGGCTGGGCTCTCCCAGGCCAGAGGGCGGCCTGAGGTTGACAAGGTTGTCACCACCTAGTCTTATGGTCCTTCGTCCTCTTTTTCCTACTGGTTTGCCTCTTGAGAAAATACATTCTTCTTGGATGTATTAGAACAAGCGTGAACTGCATCAAGTCTAAAATGAAAGTTTGGAAATTTATCTGCTGGGAATTAGAAGCATATTTGCGGTGATAGCTGTTTCTTTCTTGTCCTCATAAAAGGAGCAGCACTTAGGGTGGAGGGCAAATATATCTAAAAACCTAATTTATTTACTTCTTCTTTTTCTAATAAGGAAATCTTTTCCATCTCCTTCCTAACATGGACACCTCTTGAGGAGAATTGTTGCTATAGTAACTGGTCTGTGATCTTTGGTGGCCAAGAGAATAGCAGGCAAGAATTAGGGCCATTATAGGACTTCCATGAGGCTCGAATGTCTTGGGCTTTGTCCTCAGTATGTGTGATCTGTCCACATCCTCCCAGCCTCCCCTAGTCCATCCTGTATTGGCTTGGCACAGGCACAAAGCTAGTCCCTAGTTACAGGTGCATTCAGGTTCAAAAGAAAGTTCAGAATCTGCTCACTGTACTCCATGTCATTAAATCTACTTATGAAGGAGGACAGCTGTCAATGTCCTCTAGTCTGACCTTCACCCAGGGAGGACCCATAATAGGCCTTTGCAACCTTCTGATTCCAGAAAACTAACTTTTGTAGCTTTTTCCATCACCTAAAATGTTTTTTGTTTCTGTTTCCTCTTTTGAGCCTCTTTATAATCCCGTGAGGTAGCTGGGACATCTGTTGTCAGAAACATTTTCATTATGAGTAAACTGGGGTTCAGTGACTCAAGCATCTTGCTCAGAATCATTCAGAGATATACAAGACTAGATGCCCTGCTTTCTATTCCTGGTCCTGTGCCCACTACCCCGATTCTACTTATGTTCGTATTTACACAGCTAACAGGTATTGAGGACCTACTATGTGCTGGGGACTCGAACAGAAGTTGTGGGAAAGGAATAAGGCTGAGTAAGATAAGTTCCTCCTTTCAGAGGACTTGATGGTTGCAGAGGAGAAGCCTCTTGCAAAGGGGCATAGAAATTATACAAGAGATTAGACGTAGAGGAGGGAGAGAAGTCACAGGAAGAAGAGGGACACATTCACAAACTCAACCCGTGCTCTTATTTTTCCCTTCTTAGGGAAAAACGTTGGCAGAAGTTTGGTTTTGTATTCATCGAATGGAAATAGACACCTCTGTGAATTCCCCCAACCAAATAGCTTTTACCTATCAGGCCGTGTCTGCACATTGACAAGGAGGAAATCTGTAGGACTGTGTAGTTCTCACAGTACCCTTAGTGAAATAAAAAGATTCTTTGGTCATTTAGGAGCTAACAGAATTCTCCCAATTTTATGGCAGTAAAATGAGTACTTTATATGTTTAAAACCAATTTTCGTTTGAATTGGATTTTGATTTAAAATATGTAAGTCCAGCGTTCCTGAGAGCACCTGTCTGGGTGGGGTGGGGAAGGTGTTCCTTGCCCTCAGGCTGTTTTCAGTGGCTGCATCACTTATTCATGGTTGAGCGAGCTGTTTGGGGCATGGAAGATCTTTCTGTGTTTGAGGGTTTAGGGGAGGGAGGGAGCAGGTGAAAGCGGCACTGAGTAGGGCAGCAGTCTGTGGACTGGACTCATGCAGAGAAACAGCAGGATCAAGTCAGAGCCCTTTCCATCAACTCCTACTGTGGGAGATCACAGTCCACAGGCCGGTTCAGAGATGAGGCACTTGAAATGGTGCTGCTGGGTCAAAGGGCATTTGTCATGTTCCCAGCACCCTACTCACACCAGGGTGAGAACAAGAAGGGTCCGTTATGTAGAAGTAGCAATAGTTCAGGTATTATCCAGGTGAGTGGTGAGTAATGTCACTTGCCCTCCCCCAAATATTCTAACCACAAATGGAAAATTAATCAGTCCAGCGTTTCCAGGCTCCATATGCTGGCATCTGGGAACCGAAACTCCCAGATGACCCAGACACGCTGTGGCCTCTCATCCAGACGTCAGTAGTGGCAGATGCAGACTTGCACCCGGGAGGAACAGCTGACCCGTTTGGCCAGAGGCCAGATCATTGCTTATCTTGCCAAGTGCGTGATCAGGTTCTGTCCTCTGGAGCTTGAAAATAGATAGACTGACACCTCTCAAGTGACTCAGGTGACAGGGAGGAAAAGGGAGAGGAGGTTGAGATGGAAAATGCCTGCACAGAACCAGTTATTCTGGTGCAGTAAAGCAATCAATGGGTTGGCCACCTGACTTGAAGAATGCTAAAAGTATATTCTAGTAGGTTTGATCAAATGCTATAAATCTGGCCGAGGCCCAGACTCACCTAGATAACAAAAATGTGATTTCAGTGGGCTATCTCTTCACTGCCACTTTCTGAACATCCTCAATCATCCCATCAAGCAAGCTGAGACCACGCCTCTCTGCATGGAGCAAGAGCTGTTCCCTGTGGACGCAGGCCCTCCAGGAAGAGGGGTACCAGTGGGAAGCAGTGTTCTCCATTTCTGTACACATGGCAGGGCTCTGCAAACCTTGTCTGTAAAGAGCCAGATAGTTACTATTTGGGGCTCTGCAAGCCGTATGGTCTCTTTTGCAAACATTCAACTCTGCCCTTGCAGCATGAAACCGACCACAGATAATACTTAAATGAATATGGCTAGGGTCCAAAAAAACCTTTATTTATAAACCCTAAAAAATATCAGCCAAGTAGAATTCGTATTATTTTCACATGTCGTGAAATTGTATTACTCTTTTGATTTTTTATTTTCAACCATTTAAAAATGGAAAAGGAAAAAAAAAAAAAACCCTTCCTGAGCTCACGGGCCATACAAAACCTAGCAATCATCAGATTTGGCCCTCGGGCTGTAGTGTGCACACCCCTACCCTATGCACATGGAAAGCAGCCCTCTGTTTGCCAAGGGAAAGCAAATTGCTATCTTAGACCCTCCCTCAAACTACCCAGTGGTTTTTGCCTCCAAAATGAACAAGAACACCATAGTCTTTAAATAAGCTGTTTTAAAAGTCCTTGTTCCAAAGGAAAATGAAAACAAAAAACACTTGTTAAATTGACTCAAACGCAGGCAAGCATCCCTCAAGAGCTGAAGGCCCTGGGTCCAGGGACTGACTGACTACTGGGTGCTAACCCCACTGAGCTGAGGGCTAACACCCAGGCACAAGGCCTTCTCTGCAAGACTAGACTCAGCCCATAATGATTTCGAAGCAGGAGTGTTCATCATCTCAGACTGATTTCCATTTCAGCCCAGCTCATGCCATCGCTCTAAAAATGATCCTAAAGAATTGTGACTGTTTGAATCAATAGCGACATAATCAGTAGAAAGCCCGACCCAGCACATTTCAAAATTAGCAGTCTTCTTGGCTTTATGATTCAATATTAGCAAGAAGAAGAAAGGAAGACTTTTCTTAACCATCCCCTCATTTAAATTAACTAAATCGGTTTTACAAAAAAAAGTGAGGGAGTTTGTCTAATTCTTTGAAAGAATTTACCAGTGCAAAGTAGAGCCTTTCCAGGTAAGATAATTCTCAGGCCTTTGGAGGATCCCCAAAGCCTCCTGCAGTGTACCCTGGCGGGCTACCGATGGTACACGATTCTCTATCTGCATCAGACATTTATCAAGGCTGACAAGCCAAAGCCCTTGCCACAATTTAATTTTCATATAACCACTTTCAGTTGTCCAGCTGTAGGCAAAGGAAATGAGCAATGAAATTTTTGAAGTCTGCTCCAGCACCTTCATTTTCCTGTCTTTATGTGCTTTACTTTATAAATTTATTCTGTACCTGCTTTATAGATCTCACTCTAGTTTTCCTTTTGGCGCCAGCTAGGAAGGAGATGTGGCTTTACAAGGGCCATGGGTTCAAAGCCAGACTTGACTATCCCAGGGAGACAAAACGAGACAAAGACGTTACCTCCATCAGCACCCCAGAAATCTATCAGATATTTCCTGTATGCCATCAGTGAACAGATGGGATTTCGTGTTTGCAACTACGTTTGATGTAATTTAGCGAATCCTTGCTGAGCGCCCGCATTGTGCCAGGCCCTGTGCCAGGAATGGGAAGGGAAGATGAGTGAGACATGGCCCTGCCATGAGCATCGCCTGATCTTGCGAGTTGCCGGGATGTTTCCTTTGCGGGGTTGGAGGCTGTCTATGAGCAGTCAGCGCTGTCAGGGACAGACGTTTGGGGTTGGGAGAGGTGGGATGACTTGCTTGGGCCATTCTCCACCCTAAGGTGGTAGGTGTGACTCTGGGAGCCCTGACACACTGCTAGGCCGACTGAGGCACTCTCTAGGAAAGCAGGCAAGGATTGCTGCTCTCCAGCTTTCTTTTTCTTTTTTTTTTTTTTAAACTATAATTTAATTTTATTCACATGTAGTTGCCATTCTCTGTGTTCCTTAAATCTACCCTGATCTGACTCAGTTCACTAGTAGATGAAAGCCAGTTGTCCTGCCCACTGGGCCAGAATAACATAGCTAAGATTCAGGGAAATTCGGCCAAAGAAAGATCTTAAGGATGTACAGCAGGCGGCCAGACCTCAAAAGTTAGAAAGGGTGACCCAGGTACAGGTGAAGGCCTGCGCCAAGCAAGGCCCAAGGCCATGTAACAGCCTGACGTGAAGGAGCGCCTCTGAGCCCCCAAGTCAAAGCCAAAGAGGGAGAAAGGGCTCTACTTCAAGGAACTGCTGAGGGTTCACAGTTGACGCTGTGGAGCAGAGGTTCTCGAGGTGTGTCCCTGGACCAACAGCATCAGCATCCCCTGAGAATGAGTGAGAAATGCAAATTCTCAGGCTCCATCCACAGCCTACTAAGTCAGAAACCCCAGGGGTTGGACCCAGCCATCTGTATTTTAATGGGCTCTGATTCTGCCCATTAAAGTGTGAGGACCACTAAGGTGTGAGGACCACCCATGTGGAGGATGAGGAGAGTGACTTAAGCTGGCTTTAGGAAGAGATGACTGTTAACAAGTTAAAAAATCAACTGCTAGTGTAGTGAGGAGAGGGGGCAAAGCAGACGTACCACCCACCCTCCAGGGCCCTCCAGGCTCTAGTCCATACTCCCTGAAGCAGTCGTTTCAGAGAACCCTGGTCCTAGTCTCAACTCCTCTCCTTCCCTCGAGCCGCTTCCTGCTGGTCTGTCCCCTTTCATCCTGGAGAAACTTCCCAGGAGAGGCCGTCATGAGGCCACTTATCCCTAGGGAGGCCACCATCCAGGTCCCTCCTCCAGGGCTATACTTCAGGGGGAAACAATTAAACTGCAGCAGTGACCCTGCATCACCTGGAGAACTGTCCACACAGCCTCTCTGCTTGGCAGACAGTGGAGTGTGGTCATTTAAGGACACTGCCAGGTTACTGCAACACCGCTCCATGGGTAGTAGGTCTGGAGCATGCAGCGTCATAATCCAGGCACTAAATTGGATAGGAAATAAATGGCTTTTCTTGGAAGGGCAGTAACTCATTCTGGATGTTACTAAAAGTCGAAAAGAAAAACAAACCTGCCACCTTCCCTGCAGACAGTGTCTTGGCCCTTGAATTTCTAAGACCTGCAGAGGTGCCAAGCTTCACCAATGCTCTTTTCCCCCCATTGACCAGATGCCTGGGGTCCACCAATTATTAAGTTTTTTGATTTGTAGCTTAAACTATGAAGGTCCATCAACCTTTGGGAGGACTAGTTGGCACTCTATCCGTCATGTACAACTAACTGTGGTACGGAATCTGTCCTCGGATAAGGATTTCGGAGGTCGGGAGATGGAGGACTGGGGCGCGGGGCTTGCAGTAGAAGAACTGAAAAGAAACGGGCAGGGCAAGAGCCCAGACACATGGCCTCGGAGAGCTGCCCCTTGCTCTTTAGTTTCTAGGAACCCCAGTTCCCTCCAGATCAGAAACACATTCCTGGTCCTGTCAGCAGTCTCCTTGCTGAGTCCTCCCAAATGCCCTAAAGGACACCCTCATTTCTCCAACCCGGCTTGGTAAAGGTCTTCTGATTAAATGCCCAGTCTCCTGAGACCACAGAGATCGTATCAAAATAACTCATCGCTAGCAGGTTAGAATATGCTAACAAGAACAAGTAGGGCTTGCCCGTCGCTGGCTGGTGGAGATCCCAGAAGTGGAGGTAAAGTGTTTCCTCAGGCCACTTAGATCCCAAAGGGCTTTTTCTTTATAGCTTGGCCTCTCTGCATGAATTCTCTAATGAAACACTTCTTTCCCAAGACCTTAAGGCCATTTCATATATTTCACTGAAGTTAGTCATTTATTGCAAAAGCCTAATGTGGACAAAAGGACAAGCAATTGGATGTCAGGCAGTCGATGGAGAGGCCTTTGGTAGTTCGGGAAGCAGGATGAGCTCTGCTCTCCTTGGCAGGCCTAGACTTGTGTAAATCAGGTAAAATAGGAAGACATTAGGACTGAGGGTGAGGACCTCAGATCCAGCCAGGACACCAGGTGGAGTGAGTGAGCAGTGAGGGGGCTTTCATTAGGAAGGCTGGGCAAAAGTGAAACATGCTGGCGTGTCATTGGGCAGACC